CCCAGAAAATGGACCCTATTTTGACAGAGCATCAGTTCCAATAATTTATTCTTCATGTAATTACATAACTCAAACTATTTAGCAATCTTTGTATTTTAACTGTATATATATATATATATATATATATATATATATATATATTTGCATCTTTTATTCCATAGCAACACGCTTTCTAGCTCTCCCACAACAACTTTGTTTAGGGAAGGTGTCCCAAAGATTTATTTTCGCGTTATAAACTAGCAAGAAAGAAAATGGCTTGAAAATTTGTAAACAATAAGCACAGAAAACCTTCTGAACATCGGCCATTTATTACATGTTCAACAGTTAGTTTTTGAGGGTCCTTGGGATCCCAGGCCAGGATCTAGTCACTAAAGATACAACAGAATCATGGCCAAACACATAGGTTCTTAATTTAGGTAGGCTGGATTCAAATCCTAGCTATATAACTTACTATCTCTTTAAAAATTACCCAATTACTTTACTTGTCTATGACTCAGTTTACTCATTTATGAAGGAGGGATACAAGTAACACCTTTCTCCTAGCTTTATTAGGAAAGTTAAATGGCATATCATGTGAAAACCACTTAGAACCATCCTTTGCACATAATAGGACTTAATATCTGTCCGTTGTTATTATAAGAGGAGATGACCTTTGCTATGGTTTGGATATAGTTTGGCCCCAGTAAATGTTAAAAACTGATCTCTGGTGTTGGCAATGAGGCCTACTGGGAGGTGTCTGGGTCATGGGGCAGATCTCTCATGAAAGACTTGCTGTCCTCCTTCGGATAACGAGTGAGTTCTCACGCTGTGAGTCTGGCACCTGCTTCTCCCCTCTAATCTGCCCATCATGTGCTCTCTGCACACATTTGTTCCTGTTCATTCCTGCCATGACTGGAAGTAGCCCAAGTCCCTCAATAGAAGCAGATGTGCTTCTTGTACAGCCTTTAGAACCGTGAACCAAATAAACCTCTTTTCTTTATAAATTACCCAGCTGCAAGTATTCCTTTATAGCAACACAAATGGACTAAGACAATGCTTAACAATTTTTGACAAATCACCTATTGACAAACTTCTCCACCATCACCATAACTGCCTTCCCTGCCCTCTTCTCTAGCTGCCCAATTCATGCTAGCAAAGAAATGACAAATGAGAATTTTTTTTTTTGAAACAGTCTCACTCTGTCACCCAGGCTGGAGTGCAATGGCACGATCTTGGCTCACAGCAACCTCCACCTCCCAGGCTCAAGTGATTCTTGTGTCTCAGCCTCCTGAGTAGCTGGGACTACAGGTGTGCACCACCACACCTGGCTAATTTTTATATTTTTAGTAGAGATGGAGTTTCACCATGTTGGCCAGGCTGGTCTTGAACTCTTGGCCTCAAGTGATCCACCTGTCTCGGACTCCCAAAGTGCTGGGATTATAGGCATGAGCCACGGTGCCCTGCCAGAAATGACAACTGCATTAACTGAACTAACAACTAGGATTGTGGTACTGGAAAGTCTTTAGTTCATTCTAGCTCCTGCTTTTTACAAATGAAGACATGAAGTCCAGAGATGTTGCCCAGCTTGAATCAAAACACACAACTAATTAGGGGTGATGCTGGTATTAGATCTTGGGTCTGCACATTTTTAGTTCAGGCACTGGTCTGGAGAAATCTGCAAAGTAGGAAATTAGTCCACCCTCTCATTTGGCTCATGTTTGACTCCACCAAGGGAACAAGTAACACTGCTCTTCCTAGGTGGGGGGTTTACCTTGCTGTAAATTTCTATTTTTAGCCTCTATAGAAGGCCTACTCCCTGCAGATTCACTCCAGCTAACAGACTGCTGTGGGATTTAAGGCACTCACCATGGTGTTTCTTGGTGGTTGCCATGCCAACGAAATTTAATAGAAATAGAGTTTTCTAGCTGAATATTCTGGTGAAGGCTTTAAAGCCAGATTAACAGCTCCAACTCTGAAGCTTAAATGATGCAAATGATTTGTACTGGCACATAGTAGGCATACCATAATACTTGTTGAAATTCAGAATGAATATATATGCAATTAGCTGCATGAGGCAGCTGGAAAACCTAACAGCTGAGAACCGAGCTGTTTCTTAAAGTCAATACTTAAAAGTCAGGGTGGAGTGGTGGAGTAAGTTCATCATATCCTCCTTGGGAAGTGGTGTAGCTCTGGGTTTTCCTAATTACCTAACACTTGGTGTGAGAAATGATTTGTGTAATTCCAAAGGACTGTGTCTGACCTTTGGGCCACTTACTAGCTCTGCAACCCAGGGGGTTACCCCTGCACACAAATGTTTGCTGCAGACATGGAAAAAGTAGCAGGAATCTGACCTTGGGTTCCTTTTGCAGGCCTTTTATCTGGGGCAAGTATTCAAATCTGAAAGAGTCTGTGTTCAGTCCCCATAAGACTGATTTTTGGCAAATGTAATCAACATATTTAATAAATGGATCAAAAAAATGTAAACAGCCTCTCTGGTTCAAACCTTTCAAACCTGTGTTTGAAAAGCAGCCCTTCTGGCCACAATGAGTGAGTGAATGTTATTTAATAAACGGAGAGGAAAGGGAGCTCAAAAATCTCCTTTCAATTCCTAGGTCTTTCTGCCGGGATTCTCTAACCACCCCAGCCTGAAGGGCTCTTTCCCTTCTCATTGAAATCTATATTCTATATTAATCATTTGGCCTTCCTCCCCTCCTTCTTCACTTCCTTTCTGCCTCTTTCTTTCTCTTTTCCTACCTATTCTTCCCTTCGGCCCATCCTCTTTTTCTCTCCACCGCCCTTCCTTCCACAGTCATGATGGAAAGTGACCAGGCTTTTGGCGTGAGAATTAGCTTCAGATTCTTACTACCTCTCATGCTTCTTAGCGGCATGACCTTCGGCTGTCATCGCATCTCCAGCAGCATTCTGTCTTGTGCACAAAGGGCTGCCAATGTCTGCCTTTTTGGTTACTGTAACAAAGGAGTGTTTCTCAAACTTTAGTGGTCATGAGAGTCACCTGGGGAGACAGGTGAAAATGCAGATCTTTAAGATCCACAACAGCAGATTCCAATTTATTAGGTCAAGGTTTCAGATATCTGCATTTTGACCAGATCCACAGGCTCCCCGGTCCCACTTTGAGAAACACTGGATATGTGCATAAACGTTTAGTATGGTAAGATCCACTGTAATTACTCTAAAGGTGAGAGCTATGATCATTAATAATTCAGCAAACATTTATTGAACATCTACTATGTGCCAGGCATGATGTCAGGCGCTACAGACACTTCCCATTTAATTCCTTTTACTAGGTATTTAACTTGTCCTATACATATATGCCTTGTTCCCATCCCACTAGTTTTAAGTGCCTGGAGGGCAGAGTAAAACAGCATGATGTGGCATAGAAAAACATCAGTGTTAGAAGACATGAACTCTAATCCTGATTTTATTATTTATTACTTATGTGACTTCAGGCAAGTCACTCTACTTCTCAGAACTTTATTTTCTTCATCAAAAACTGGAAAGTCAAGGCGTACAGTGGTTAAAAGCCTAGTGTTTGCCATCCTGGCTCTAATGCTTTCTAGATTTGTGATCTTGAGAAAGTTACTTAACTTCTTTGGGCCTGTTTCCTCCTATGTAGAAAGGGGACTTATTTGTTCAATATTCATTCTTTTAACAGATATCTTTTGAGCACTTTGATCAGTACTGTGCTAAGTCCTGGGAATATATTGGAGAGTAAGGCAAACAGGATCCCTGACTCACATAGTCTACAATTTAACAGTGGATGTAAGTATTAAGCAGACAACTACACCCATAACCCAGCACATAGAATTATGACGAATCCTGCCGTGATAAATTTTCGTGATAGGAGCTAACCTTGTCCAAGAGTGTCAGGGAAGACCTTCTCAGAGAAAGAATACTTAGGATAAGCTCTGAGGGATGAGTAGGCATCACCAGATAAAGAGGCTCCAGAGATGGGAAGAAGTAGGGCTCTTAAGTAAAGGGATGCCAGTGTGGCTAGAACTGAGTGCACAAGGTCCCCCCTACCTCACAGGTGTTCAAAGATTCAGTGAGGTAATTGTTGGTGTACACAAGTGACACTCTGAGACCCACTTAAGATCCTAAATGCATGTTGACCAAAGTTGAATTTCCCGCAATACTCAGCTTTAGGCTCTGCACAGAATAACCTTTCCGTAACGATTTGACAGTATTTATGATATTATTAAGGTGAGAAAAGGACTTTGAAAATCTCCATCCTCTCATTTAACAGCGGAGAAACTTAGGACCATAAAAGAAGTAGGAGCTGTCTGAGAAATGGGAAGAGCTGGCCTGGTGCAGTGGCTCATGCCTCTAATCTCAGCACTTTGGGAGGCCAAGGTAGGCAGATCACCTGAGGTCAGGAGTTCAAGACCAGCCTGGCCAACGTGGAGAAACCCCGTCTCTACTAAAAATACAAAAATTAGCTGGGCATGGTGGTGGAGCCTATAATCCCAGCTAATAGGGAGGCTGAGGCAGGAGAATCACTTGAACCCAGGAGGCAGAGGTTGCAGTGAACTGAGATCACGCCACTGCACTCTAGCCTGGGCAAGGGAGTGAAACTCTGTCCTCAAAAAAAAAAAAAAAAAAAAGAGGGGAGGAGTGTGAACCCGAAAAATTTTCCTCTCCAGAACATGATTTTGTTGTGTTTTGCCACAAAGGCAGTGGGTGTGAGAGGTTGACCTGCAGGCGCCTCCCAAGATGACTGAGATAACCTGGCACTCCAATGTGCATATCTTTCAGACTTTAGCATTTTTTACTAAATAAATTGATTGTTGGAATAAATATAGTCTTGAGAATGAGTCAAAAAGCAACTTCAAGGAAATACAGTATTTTCAAAGCAAACACATCCCAGCACAACTGCCTATCTCCATTTATGTGGATGTTGGTACAGATTAGTTCCTCTTCCTGCTTTTTAAAAGTGTGTAGGCCCCTTTCTTATGGAAATAATAATAATTATAAATGAAGTAGCAACAACGATAATAGCTTACTTTATCAGTGTGTTTCTGGGTCAGGCAGCGTTTTCACCTCCATCATCATCAGCGCGTTCAGTCCATTGCTCTATTAAGAGGTAGGTCCTGATTATCTTCATTTCCTAGATGAGGAATCGAAGAAACAGAAAAGTCTAGTTACTTGACTCAGGTCCTAGAGCCAGGATTTGAATCAAAGCTGATGCCAGAGCTTGGGATCTTCATTGCATTTGATGTGATAATTCACTTGTGAAAAACAAAGCAATTCATTTGTTTTCATTTGTCAAAAACAAAATAAAATCTCAACTAACTATTGAGTTCTTTACAGGTAAAATCAGGTGTTGAAATGAGTAAGCCCCGAGAAAAGCCACCTGGAGGTGTCAGGAGGATGCACTGTCTACAGAGGAACAGAGTATCTTCTTTTGACAAGAAAACCAACAGTAACTTTTATCTTGGTTTCACATTTCAGGAGTAGAGTAGGGTAAACCAAAACAGGTTTAAAAAATAAAAATTAAAGCAAGCCCAGGAAGCTGAAACAACAGGGTCCTTCAGAAGGAATGATTTGCCTTCTTCTCTTTAGGACATCTTCTAGGACGGCAAACCTTTTCTCTAGAGAAAGAGGGCGCCCTCCTCAGAAATGGGGGTGCAGGTGAGGGATCGTGCTGCTTTAACTGTTCGTAACCCCTGCACTTTACTAGATTTGTCTCTGCCTGTTAACGCAGCCTCAGGACACTTGGCTAGGAAGACTGGCGTGTACTCTGGGTTAGTTATTTCGGGACATTCTCGCCCAGCTGCTTGGGACGAAGAGGTCCTAATTAGATACCCGGACCTTCCAGCGGGCAGATTTAAAAGAAGATGCCCAGCTATGCTTCATCCTCATCCACACTCTCCCGCTCCCCACCAAAAAACTAAGTGCAAAAAAGCTTGCCAGGGCCTGCAGAAAGCGCCGCGCCTGCGAGGCTGACACGCGTCTTCCCTTCCCTCCCCCGGGGAACGGTCCCCGCATCTCTCGCAGTGATGTCAGCGTGATCCGGAGTCGGATCGGGCTCCCGGCTGGGTAGCGGGGGGCAGATGGTGCTCCCGCTAGCCGGGCAGAGCAAGGGTGTCCCCCGCGGAGGTGGCGGCCCCGGGGCGTCCCGGCACCCCCGCATCCCCGGCGCGGTGCCCCCGGTGCCCGCGAGCGCCGCCCCCGCTGGCTGGCAGCGCCTCGCTCCGCCCTGGACGCCGCGGGTCCCGGCGCGGGGGTGCGGCGCGGGGTGGGAGCCGGCCCGGCTCAGCCTGATTTACGGCTCTGCTGAAAACCGCTTCGCTCCCGCAGCATCGGCACCGGCGGCGGCTGCTGCAGCAGCAACAAGTCGGGTAAGAGGGGCCGCCGGCCATCTGCGCCCGCGGCTCGGCGGAGGGGACCGGCTGGGGCGGCCGGGGCGGCCGGGGCTGGGGAGGGGGTCCCCGAGCTCGCAGCGTGGCGGGGAGCTGGGAGAGCCGGCTTCCCGGCCCCCACCTGCGGGAACTCGCGTGCGCACGAATCCACTCTGGCACCCGTGGGCTGGCACGCAGCGGAGCGGGGGCGGGGAGAGCCAGGACCCCGAGGCAGGGTCGTTGCCAGCCTGCCCGGCTCCGGCAGTCAGTCAGTCAGGGCTCTTCCGCCAGCCCCCTGGACTGGGGTTTCCGCTGGGCCCATAAAAGCCTGCGTGCTCTTAAGTGTGTGATTACCCATTTCCCCATCCAAAATGCCCCCGTTTCCCATTGCCCCCCTAGAATTCTGACTTGCCCTTTCTCTACCTCTTGCCAGCGTCTTTGGCTCTGAGCTGCTGAGCCAGGGTTTGCATGTCGTTCCCAGAAAACCAGTGGTTAAACATCCCGGTGTACCTACCGCAGGAAGAGGTTCCCCTCTCTGGGGACCGGAGGCTTCACCTAGAAGCCTTGAGCACTGTCTGGGTCTCCTGTCTGGGATCATCTGCAAGTCTGCTTTTGAAGAGGTCGAGGCACTTTTCACCCAAAGACACCAGTCGGGCTCCCTGGTTTCGGGTCCAATGCTTGTTACATTTAAGTAGAAACCATTCAGGGAGGAATAGACAGGCACTGCTTGCAGAATTGGGTTCCTGACAGTCATCTGTTGCTAGGGTGAAGATAATAAATTCCTACAAGGAAATCGGAACTTCCAGGTATTAAGAGAGATATGTGGATACCTACCTGGTTCATACATTGACCATCCCTAGAGGCTGTCATATAAAATAGGGTTTGAGACAAGACACATCCACCCAGAACACTATTAGAATAAAAATCTTGGCCGTGGCCCACTTAGGTCCAATGGTATTTGATACATTGGGTCCCCAGGTTTCAGTAAAACTCACATATGGGGTCTATTATTGTTACGATAAGTACTTTGGTTTCTGTCATCACAGCAATACCTGAAGGGGAAAAAGGCAAAAATCTCAGGGTGAAAAAATTTCCGCTGATTGCAGGCTTAATGTCACTGTGCATAGCTTGAGTCATCTTTCTTGTACTTGAGGAAAGGTCCTAAGCTTGCTGTCTTAGGACCCATTTTAACAATTCATGTGAGTTTTCATATTGTTTGTGGGCTTTCACGCATCTCAGATTGTATCCTTAGAATGGGGCACAGTTTTGCATTTAATGTGCCAAACTCAGGAGGGCAGGAAACTTGAATTCCAAGTCTGGATCTACCACTTTCCATCTGACCTTGGATTAAGGGCCTGACCTCCTTGCTCCAGTGTTCTCATCTGTGAAGAGGGAATGTTACCCACCTTTTTGATTCTAGGTAGGAGTTGGCAAACTTTTTCTGTAAAGGTAGTAAATATTTTAGCATTTTGGGGTATAGAGTCTCTGTCTCAGCTACTCCCCACTGCCATTGTAAATAATACAGAAATTGATATAGATGGATTTGGCCCCTGGGCTATAGGTTTTAATTGCAACATAAAATATTATGTGCAAAAGTCACTTGAGTTTCCTCTGTTGTCATGGAGATGAGTAGCAATCATTTTAGTAGTGCGTTTTTCAGCAGACAAGTAAACTACCTATTTCCCCCCTCCCAGGACTTTTAGAGTAATGCAACAGAAGGCTTTTGAGGAAAGCAGATATCCCTGGCAGGAGTCCTTTGAGAATGTTGCTGTGTGCCTGCCATTCCGATGCCCGAGGTGTGGAGACCATACCAGATTTAGAAGCTTGTCATCCTTGAGGGCCCATCTGGAGTTCAGTCACAGCTACGAAGAAAGAACCCTCTTGACAAAATGCAGCCTCTTTCCATCCCTCAAAGGCACAGACCTAGCCACTTCCTCAGAACTCCTGAGACCGGGAAAATTGCAGAGCAGCGGCAACGTGGTAAAGCAGAAACCGAGCTATGTTAACTTGTACAGTATTTCACATGAACATTCCAAGGACAGGAAGCCATTTGAGGTGGTGGCAGAGAGGCCTGTGTCCTACGTGCAGACCTACACTGCCATGGACCTCCGTGCAGACTCACTGGATGGGCCACGGTCGGGTCCTGGACTGCCCACCTCAGACACCAAAGCCTCTTTCGAGGCACATGTCAGAGAAAAGTTCAATCAGATGGTTGAGGCTGTGGATAGGACCATTGAGAAGAGAATCGATAAACTCACCAAAGAGTTGGCCCAGAAAACCGCAGAACTGTTGGAAGTTCGGGCAGCTTTTGTGCAGCTGACTCAGAGAAAGCAGGAAGTTCAGAGACGAGAGCGGGCCCTGAACAGACAGGTGGACGTGGCAGTGGAAATGATAGCTGCATTGAGGCAACGCCTGACAGAATCTGAGGAGGAGCTTCTTAGGAAAGAAGAGTAAGTGTTGCTGACAGGGGATGCTAAGCCCATTGCTTTAAGCAGCGCTCCCAATCCCCCTTACAGGCAAACGCGAAGTAAGGTTGAATTTGGCTTTTTGCAGGTGCCTTGACTGCATTTCTTATTGATATAGTTGAACCAAGAGGTACAAGGCTTTGATATCATTTACGCTCTGTGTGCACGGTCTGCAGCCTAGCAACACTGAAGTCAAATATCGAATTCCTTCTCTACTGGGAATTTGCAAACCACAGATAATGTTTTAGAGAGAAGAGTAGCACAGGCAACCCGTGGTGGGATCCATTCCTAGCACCAAATGGTGTGCAGTGGTGAGTTGAATGGGAAGGCAGAAAGGGTCAGCTGAGTGACCTCTTTTGTTTCCTCTTAACAGTCTCCATATTATAAAGTCAGTAATGCAAGATACTGTCTTACGTACAAAAATATTCCTCCAGTATAAATCAATTTGGTTTATTTGCCATTTTGTATTATCTTCCCAGGTTAATTAATTGTTAGTAGCTGATAATCCATTTAGTTTAATTGATATTTGGGAGAAGCAGACTTTAGGAAACTCAGAGGACTTTCTGATATCGCTGTACTTCTGTGATTTTAGTTTGAGACTTAACTTTTTGGAAAATGATGTATATCGGATTAAGTTTTGGCCACTTGCAAAGAGCTGAGATTGGTTTTCACAAGTTATAGATTATACAAGCTGTTGCTTGAGAAATCATCATACTTGGAGAAGCATTTCCTTATCAATAAGTATAGATTTAACCCAAACTAGAAAAGTATACATAACAAGTCAGTGTACTTCCCAAATGCAGAACGTCAGATTTCATTTTAAATAGAGACTCAGAAATTCATGGAATCAAAAGACATTAAAATTGATAGAGTAAAACATCCTACCTAGAAGGTAGGTTTCCAAATAATTTGAGTTATATTATAGAGATTGATTTAATTTCATCTTTTCTTTGCCCTCTGGCACTCTATTTTGTGTTGTCTCTTAAAATGTAATAATTAAAACTTCCCAAAACATTCCATAGATGAAAGAGATCATTGCTATCACCTAAATGCTTACATTCTACCTTGAGGGGAAGCCTAGACGTTTTTTGTTCAGGTGAGGCATTTTTTAAATTACGTAATTAGGATGGATTTGAATCAGCCTCTGACTTACTTAGCTCCTAGGGAAATAATCTCTAATTAAAAATGTTTCCCTTTTGGTTTCTGGTGTTTCCTGGTTGGAAGTTAGTGTCTTCACCCGTTAATGGGCACCAGGGTGACCTACACCATGCTGCTGAAGAAAGGGCAGATGGG